TGAGTGTAGAAACTCAACACTTCACTCCAGGTGAAGTGCAGCACAGCAGCCATTAACAGTAAATGGCCCTTCAGTTAAAGTTTCTGATAACGGACGTTATGGGGGTTCAATATAGCCTAAAAACGTGTCTGTGTAATTTTACCATGTCGGTACCAAAAGTTCAGTATTGCACCCAGATGCACCCTCCAATCCCCTCCCTCAAGGACTGATGATGTCTCCCCTATCCCTGAGTGTAATAGATTTTCTTGTCTCAACCGGCTTAATTGTGATGGTCATAGCTCAGCCGGAGTTTACTTTGAGAAAGAGTTGAGAGTTGAGGTTTATCAATAGAGGAAGGCTTTTTGTTGCCAATGAAATAATACGTAACGCTGTTATGTGACGTATGAAGTGAAGGTAATTGTGGGGGAACGTAACACTTTTTCATGGGGGAGGGCTCCTCTGACAGCCGGTGTGTAGGACGGACCGTGGCAGCAGGTAACGAAGTCGGAGAGAGGCGCCAGAAAACAATAGTTGTGACGTACATATCTCAACACAGTGACGCAATGTACGCGCATGGTGCGCTAGCCCGCGCGTGCAGTTCCAGTAGACCCTATTATACAGCAGAAAAATCACACATCTAATGAACAACCTAATTAAGCAACACCCCTCACCACACCCCCCGTCCTCCCACTCCTTATTCATATGCGCACCACATACGATTTTGGACGAAGAATAGTTTTCCCTTCTCATACACAGAACATATATATATATATATATATATATATATATATATACACTTAATGACAAATGAAGTCTGTGTGTGAGCGTGTGTACGCGCCCAGGGAGAGTATTGTGTGTTAGATGTGTGCGCGCACGCTCAGCCAAGTGAGGCGTACACGCGCTGTTATTGAGGAGAAGAGAGCAGGTGCTGGTCGAATTACCATACAGCTGAGGGGGGAGAGAGAGAGAGCAAACTTATTCCTCCACCACACACAACAACAAAAGTTCCCCCTTATGTTGGCCACGCGAGCGACTACGGTGCGCGCGCGCCTCTGTGCACGCACACACACTGCCACCTATAAGCGCGCAAACACGGTCTCTTTTTTTTCATCCTAGTGCGAAGAAAGAGAAGAAGGCGAGAGCAAAATAGAAAAGCAGGAGTCCAGCCCCTCATGTCGTTTACCTCATTGCGCAGCTCTGCCAAGGAATGTTTTCTTCGGTCTTTTCAGTCAATTCAAAGCATCAAATTCTTCCCACAGATACAAATACCAAAATTTAGAGCGTGTGTGTATGCTGAGAAAGAAGGGGAGAAGGAAGAGAAAAGGGGGGGGAGGTGGGCTGAAAAACAATTAACTGAGTCAGAGTTTGACCAGGAAACGCTTTTTCTTTCTTTTTGGGGGAGATTTTTGAATCAGCTTCACACTGTTAATTGGCACTGCATCCAAAACATCTTAGGACGCCCACAACAAAGGAGCTGGTGCAGTGATGCAACAGCTGGATGGATCAATTCAGCCGCATGCCGTCCACAGCCCAGGGGGAAATCTGGCAGCTGTACGATGCTGAAAACTCTTAAAAGGTGTATAGAACATATCCATGTTACCACTTTAACACCTTTAGTTTGTCTTTCATGTATAGGAGAGGGTCTGTGATGTCAAAAGACCAACAACCAAAAGTCAGCCCAATTCTTCTTCTTCTTCTTCTTATGTCTTCTTAACCGCTTGACTGTTAAGTTTTCCTGTTTAGTGTTAGCAGAAAACATGTTTTAATTAATCTTGTCTCCCGTCTTGTCCTGTAGGAGTCTTACAGAAGTTTTCACTTCTTAAATACTTCCACACAAGCTTATTTGAGCTCGGGTATTAACACTGTATGAGGGGTTACAGGAGGAATAAGGAGGATGGTGGTGGGGTACTTGTATGGGATCCCATTGTAGAGAGCCAAGCCAGATTGGGAGGTGTAGTCGGGCAGCAGGAGGAGGGGGTCCATTTGCATGCTATTACCATAGCATGTGTCAGGCCGTATATAACAGGCTGCAGGCGGCCTTGGCTGTAGACAGACGCACAGTTCACAGTGAGGAAAGACATCAGGCAGTAGAAAGAAGCATGTTGGACCAGTGACAAATCTGTCCTTGGGTTAGACCAAGACCTTCACACACAAAACAAAAAAAGCTTCGCCCTAACATTCTTGCTGTAACAAACAAGGAACACTTCGCTTTTTCCTCTTTACGCACTGGATTATAACTGAACTTCGAGGACTGCTTTTCTTTTTCAACACAGCGCAGAAGTTTACTCCATTTGTTTTGTGATTTTATTTTTTAAGGTTTGGGATTTATCCTTTGTCTTTTTGTGCCTCGGGACATGAGTGAAAACGACGTGGCTGATATCCACAGCAGTTGATGAGAAAACCCTGTGAGGCGACAGAAACGTGCTCAATGTATCTTCCTCAGACGGACTGAACAGGAGGAGGCACCCTGACGACAAGCCGAGCCCCAAGACTTTTTACTCTATTTATTTACTATTTATTATGTATTTATTTAATATGGGGCGCGTCATCCTGCTGACTCTTGCCGTCATGTCCATGTTGCTGTGCCAGGTAAGCTTCTAAATCAAACATTTTCCCTCCAAACAATGAACCATCTCCCCCCCTGCCTCCCCTGCCCTCCCATCACAACACGCACTCTCACACAAGCGGTACTATGTGTGCACTTGATGATAATAAGCCGCTTTCCTCCGCAGGGGTTTTGCTCGGGAGTTTTTGAGCTGAAGTTGCAGGAGTTTCTGAACAAGAAGGGAGTACAAGGCAACAAAAACTGCTGTAAAGGAGGTCTGGCTTCGTCTTTCCAGCAGCAGTGCGAGTGTAAGACCTTCTTCAGGATCTGTCTCAAGCACTATCAACCCAACGCTTCCCCAGAGCCCCCGTGCACCTACGGCGGCGCTGTGACACCCGTCCTCGGCTCCAATTCCTTCCAGGTCCCAGATGTCATCCCGGAGAGTTCGTTCACCAACCCCATCAGGATTAACTTCGGCTTCACGTGGCCGGTAAATACAACCATTCATGTAGAGTAGGAGTTAAGGCTGAGAAATCGCGCCAATTCTTGTAAATGCGTGCGTGAAAAGAGCACCTTTTTCCCTGCGCACAACTTGAAGGCTCAGAGAGCACACAAAGTTTACAGGTATTCAGTTTCATCGGATCAGGTTAGGCAGTTTGCATTCAGCACATTGAGTGTATGGCACAATCGCCTCGGGCCTTTACTTGATGTTATCGCCACATCTCCGCTGGCCACCTGTCTCATGAAGCCATTTGTGTTCCCAGGGGACCTTCTCGCTGATCATTGAAGCATTACACGCCGATTCCAAAGACGACCTCTCCACGGGTAGGAACTAAATCTCCTATTTCAGTGTTGTTGTTGTTTTCACATTTACACACTTTCTCCTCCTCATCTTGTACTTCTACATGCACATTTCAGAGAACCCAGACCGGGTTATCAGCACCATGACCACCCAGAGGCATCTGACTGTGGGAGAGGAATGGTCCCAGGACCTGCACACCGGGGGAAGGACCGAGCTCAAGTACTCCTATCGATTCGTGTGCGACGAGCACTACTACGGGGACGGCTGTTCAGTGTTCTGCCGGCCGAGAGACGACGCCTTCGGCCACTTCACCTGTGGAGAGCGCGGGGAGATTGTGTGCGACGCCGGGTGGAAGGGGCAGTACTGCACTGAACGTGAGCTGCAGAGATTTTTCCCGTTATAGAATAAAATATTTTGATTAGACGAGAGACAAAAAAACACAGAAAGGAAAAGAAGTTAGAGGTAAAGAAATCCGTTTAAAAAGGAGAGATTTAAAACTCATTTGAATGTTTTTTTAGTGAAGGTAAAGTTCAAAAAGTTTTTATTTCCATGTATCTATAGTCAAGTTCTCTGAGTGCCGTTAGAAGGCAATTTAGGGCATAAACACCACGCGCACCCCCTCCCCTCTCCTCACCCCCCCCCCACACACACACACACACACACACACACACACACGCACACACACACACACACATACACACACGACCACTTGATTTATTCTAAGGAAAGTTTTTGAGAATAATCTCACGCGTGCCATAAATTTACATGCTACCTTCCGATTCGTTACTCTCGAAGTGGGCCGGTCGGTGATTGGCTGAGTTGGGGGAGGTATTGTTTGAAGTGGGCAGCTGCCGGCAGAGAGGAGACAATGGAGCAGCTGTCGCGCACTGGCAACACACTCGCCAGCTGTCCACTCTTATCTACCCCAATCCGAGACATTAAGGGGAGTATGTGTGTGTATGTGTGTGTGTGTACACACACAGAATGAATAAAAGAGTTCTGACCCGCAGTGAAGAAGAAAAAAAAAGAGGGTGGTGGGCTGAGGGCCTCTGTGTGTGTGAGTGCGTGTGTGCACTCTGGGGCACACACGCATGCACACACTCCCTCCTTTGTCTCTGCACTATGTTAAGCAGAAAAATCTTCCACGATGACAAGCTAATGGGTTCAGAATCCACTGCTTTACTTCATTTTAATCACTTTCTTTGGATTTTTTCATCTTTAAAAGCAAATCTTAAAAACAAGTTGCCTCAATGTTTCTAAAAAGCATACTCTTGTTTTCCTGTACAGCGATTTGTCTGCCAGGATGTGATGAAGAGCACGGGTTCTGCGAGAAACCCGGGGAGTGCAAGTAAGTTTTCTCCACAAGTTCACTGGGGCATTAATTAATTAGTGGATTGCGTGAAGTAATGTGAGTGGAGTGACCGGTGTTCCCTCCTAATTGGACAACAACAGGTGCAGAGTGGGATTCAAAGGGCGCTACTGCGATGAGTGCATTCGTTACCCGGGCTGCCTCCATGGGACCTGCCAGCAGCCCTGGCAGTGCAACTGCCAGGAGGGCTGGGGTGGACTCTTCTGCAACCAAGGTAAGGAAAGAGTCTGGGAAGTAGGGAGAGAGAGAGAAGTGGTTTTGTTGGATGAAGGAAGCCACAACACGTAGGGTTAGACGTTTTCCAGATATCTAGGCTGCATCACAATTTTAAAAAACAAACAAATAAAAAAAACTATTTGAAATGTATTTGAAACAAATTATGTGCAGCTTAGACTTAGATTTCATGAACAGGAAGATAACAAATTAATGCTTAAACAACTTACAAATGCCCTGCTTATTTGGTGGAAAGGTGACAAAATGTGGACAACTTGTTCTTGAAGGTTTTCCATCACTGGTTTGTCATTTATTCAAACCACAAACTTGGTTTCAAACAAGCCAGTAAAAAGGTAGACTGAAGCGAAAGAGCATCAGCACTCCAGTAACAGAGCAGCAGTTGTTTCAGCAAAGACAGGAGGCAAGGAAACAAAAAACCACTGGCAGAAGAGAAACAGTCAAGTGTGCCTGAGGACAAAAGCGCATACTGTCGCCGCTGCTTCTGTCCCGCCATGTGTTGTGCTCTGGCTAATCCACATGTGCTGCTGTGTTTTTTCCAGATCTCAACTACTGCACTCACCACAAGCCCTGCATGAATGGAGCCACTTGTAGCAACACTGGCCAGGGCAGCTACACCTGTTCCTGCAGGCCTGGCTTCACTGGGGCCAGCTGTGAGATTCGGGTCAACGAATGTGCTGGAAACCCCTGTCGCAATGGAGGAAGCTGCACTGTGAGTGCTCGTGGGTCTTCTTAAATGAACTTGGAATAAGAATAGAGACATCTTGTTAACTCAGCTCCAGCGATGCCTGAATGCATCAGCCTTCATTCCTTCTCATCTATCTTTTCTGTTTTCGATCATTCTTCAATTCATATTAAACCTAAAAAAAAAATCAAGACATACAGCATGCAGCAAGCTGGAAATGCTGCAGATGCAGCACCACACAGATCTTGATGTCAAGTCTGTTCTATTTTTTCCCACAGGATTTGGAAAACACATATACCTGCACTTGCCCTCACGGTTTCTATGGCAACAACTGCGAGCTAAGCGCCATGACGTGTGCTGATGGGCCTTGCTCCAATGGAGGCCGCTGTACTGACAACCCTGACGGAGGCTACTTCTGCCAGTGCCCCACGGGGTATGCAGGGTTCACCTGTGAGAAGAAGATTGACCACTGCACCTCCAGCCCCTGCTCCAATGGTAAGTACAAACAGAATAAGGGTTTGGTCTTTGAGATGCTCGGTCTGCACGAACTGAACACTCATTCGTGACTTCATCTCTATTCTCAGGTGCACGCTGTGTGGATCTCGTTGGCTGCTGCTTGTTTCAGTGTCCAGACGGCTTCACCGGCCAGAACTGTGACCACACCGGTGATGAGTGTTCGTCGTATCCTTGCCAGAATGGTGGCACGTGCCAGGAAGGTCCTGATGGCTACACCTGCACTTGTCCCCCGGGATACACGGGTCGCAACTGCAGCTCCCCGATCAGCCGCTGCGAGCACAACCCCTGCCACAACGGTGCCACCTGCCACGAGTGAAACAACCGTTATGTCTGCGCCTGTGCTCATGGATACGGTGGCAGAAACTGTCAGTTCTTGCTTCCAGAGCACGCTGCCATCCGGGGGTCAGAAGTTCCCTGGATGGCCATTGGTTCCGGGGTGGTTCTGGTGCTGCTGCTGTTGGCAGGCTCTGCTGTTCTGGTTGGCTTTTTCCAATCAAAAGTCCAGCATGCCGGCCAAGTAGAAACTGTAGGCGAAGCAGAGACAATAAATAACCTTACTAACAACTGTCACCGTAGTGACAGGGACCTGGCCATCAGTGTGATGCCGATGCCAGGTGTCAAAAACATCAACAAGAAGATGGACTTCTGCAGCGGGGACCCCGGTGAAGGATCTCCACCAGGGAGGAGCAGCTACAAGAGCCGCCATCTGCCTGCAGATTACAAGCTCGTACACGAGGTCAACTACGAGCAGGCGGCCAAGGAGGCCATGCTGGAGGCGGCCTGCGAGGACAAGGACTCATTTGAGTTTGAGGAGAAGCGCAGCAAACGTTTAAAAAGGTAA